CGTTCGATCTGTTTTTGAGCTATTATTCCCAAACCATTTCCCAAAAAAATTGTGAAACTTCCCAAAAATTCTCTTTTCCCAATTTTTGGATGGTTTTGGGTTTGCAATTAACTTATTTAACCGCAATTCATATGTTTTAAACTCCCCCTAACAATTTTTTTTTTGTACCCAAACCCTATCCCAAACCCAGATGGTGGGTAAAAAAAAAGAAAACTATGTAGTAATTTTTTAAAAGGGAAGGGGTTACAGGGGCCCTTTTTCTGGCATTTTGTTGCCTCTTGGGACATGCAAAAGGGTTATGAAGGATTCTTTCCACTTTTCCCCTGCTATTTTATACTGTATACAATTTGGGGGTATACAATACTGTAATCATATTGGGTAGTAGCTGGGTGGGATGTACAAATGATGTTACAATGATTTAAGTAAACTCGGAGTAATAAATTATGGGAAAATGCCCTTCCCTTCATTATAAAATTGGGAAAATTTGAAAAGGAATATTTAATTTTTGGGTTTTTTGTTTTAAAAATTTTTTTTTTAGAATGTACAGTATTCCCTTTTTTTTACAGTGGCAACGGTGTCTGTTTTTGGTGGGGTTTTGGGAAATGGGCCGCCCGCAGCTCGGGTATTTTTCTCCATTTGACCAGGGTTCTTTATGAAACGTCCGCAATGAACGAGCCTTGTTGGTGATGCCATTTGCCACCATCCTTTCTGTAACCCCAGCTAGACTTACTCTATTTTAATGTTAGGGAAATTAAAAGACCCCCCCTTTACAACATTTTTTTTTTTTTTAAAATCATTTGGCCATCTCCCCCCTGAGGGAGGGTGACCCAAAGAAGAAAAAAACAAAGTTTTTCTTTTTAAAATTTATTAATTTTAAAAAAAAGAAGGGGTTTCTAAAAACCCTTGCTTCCAGCATTTTTAATTTCCCCTTACAACGCGCATCACTTCCCAAGGAAGGCTTTTCTCCGCTTTCCCCCTGAAGGGGTAAAACTTAACATTATGATTTATTTTGTAGTGCAAACAAATCTCCCACTTGTAAGGGCCTTTTTAAAAAATTTTTAAGTCAGTTGTTTCCCGAACAAGGAACCTATTTTTAAAAAACCCCTTTTTGATAGTAATCATTTCCTGGTTGTCATTAACTCTAACTCTTTGCCTGTTGCTATGATGCTCATGGGGGTAGTTTAACATTTATCACTCTGAAGTTTTTAGCAAGAAAATTTCCCCAAAACAATAAACCCCACCTCACATAGTTGCATTACTATCACCAAAGTCAAAAAAACTACAACTGGGTGCTACTACCACAAAACACAAAAACTAAATGCTGCTACTACTACAAGGACTACAAAATATGCTACTACAACTACTACAAATTTTTTTTAAAAAATGCTGGCCATCCTCACTGGACAGGGGGCCCCCCCCCCCCCTAAAAAAAAAAAAAACCACCTTTTTTGGTTTTTTTATTTACACTATCATTTTTCCTTCCAAGACATGCAATATGAAAAGTTTAGATGTCACCCTCAACAGTAAAAATTCCCAAAAACCCCTTTTTTAGAGTGCAGGCATTGTACTTCAAGCCCCCCAAAGGGGTAGTTCAGCAAATGGTTTTTTCCCGAAAGCTTCAACCCAAAAAATTTTCCCTGCTGACCCCTCCAACAGCTTCCCCCAAGTCCCCAAAAAAAAAATTTATTTTCCATTCAGTCATATCTAAAAATGCTCACACATGCCACTGGGGATGGGCCCAACCCCCTTTAAAAAAGCCTCCTTTAAAACCCCCTCCCTTTCTTGGGAAGAAACCCCTACCCTCCTCCCCTACTACAAATTTTTCACCCTTCAATTTATTTCCCATATTGCTCTATCCCCCTCTAAATTTACAAGACCAAATTCAGCAACCCCCTCCTCAGCCTTTTGAAAAATACTTTTAAATAACTCCACACCCCCCCCTAATTTCCCACTAGAATTCTCTGCATAAAATTTATTTCCCCCAATTTTTTGCCCTTAACCCTTTGACTGTTTTGGTCGTATATTTAGTTTACAAGCCCCCATTTTTTTACGGGATATATCTCATAAATTTTAGCGGCCTTTAAAACAAAAAAGGGAAAACTGGTAGGGGCCCCCATGTAGAGAAAGGGTCTGTGTGGTCAGTGTTCCCCAAAATAAAAAAATCCTGCAGCATCCGTGCATAATGAGAAAAAAAAACTCCCACCTTTTTTTTTTTTTTTTTAAAAAAAAATTTCCGCGTTTGGGTCTATTTTCTATAAATATTTATGGTTGTATTCCATTTTCTTGGCCGTTAGATTTTAAAAGGGAAAAAATATTATAGAAAAAAAGGTGATTTTGATTTGGGTTTTTTTTACGAAAAAAACCCTTTAAAAAGAGCTCAAAGTAGGGGAAATTTTATTTTTACCCATGTTCAAAAATAAACAGATGCCAATTTTTCCCAAAAAATGCCAAAAGCCTTCTAAATGCAGTCATGAATGGGGGTTTCATTATTTTTTACAGTTTTTTACAATATTTCAATAGCTGCAAACATAAAAACTTTTATTTTTTTGTTTAAATAAAAATTCAAAAAAGAAAGCAAAAAGTAATATCAGGGGGGGCCTTGGGGGACCCTGACTGAAAGAACAAAGAAAATGTTTTTTGAGAGGAATTTTCTGCATTGTTTATTTTGGACCCTATTTTGGGAAAATTTTCATTTTTTTTTAAATTTTTTTGTAATTGGGTAAATTTTGGGAAATTTCTGACCACTTTGGGTAGTTAAAACCGGGAAATGGGCAGTTTCTTTTACTCAATTTGATAGAAAAAATGGAGTTCTAAAGAATAGCTATGATTTGGGCGGGTGGGAAAAATGGAATTAGCCAAAAAAAAGGGCTCAAGGTGGGGAAAATCGCCCCCAGGGTTCTAACTTTTTGCAAGGTGGGAATTCCATCGGGGGTTTTTTTATCAAATTTCGTTCTTTTGGTTTTTCATTTCAATCTGGAAAAGGGTTTCTAACATTTCCCTAAGAAATTTATTTTTTTTTTTTTTAAAAATTTGCGACGCCAGGAGCCCACTTTAGGGTTTTGGGGGTTTCGACAGTCAAAAAGGGGGAAAAAACCTCGCTGCAACTTCACAAACCCCTATTTAATTTGCTTTTCACCTCAGTCCCAATACCCCATATACCCTCTTTTCCCTGTATTGTTTGGAAAAGCTTGAAAAGAAGCTCCTGGAGAGCGGGAAAAATTTTCACAGAAAATGTCCGGGATTTGTTCACTTTTGTCCCTTACCTAACCCGAGAGTAAAGGTGCCCCAGTGAAGGTGGTACAATAAAGATTGGGAGCAAATAGGGAGAGTTTATTTGCAAAAGAGTCAAGTTCCCCCACCCAGGGAAATTTCCACGTCCCCGCCAAATGAGTGTGAAAAAATAAGTCTGTAATTTTCCCTTTTCACAGGGATAGGATTTTCTGGGGTTTTTTTTTCTGTCTCTTTAAAAATGCCCGGGTAACAGGTACAAACTTGCTACTTTTAAATTTCATTTTTGGCTAACCCCGACATTCATTAACGTTGTGTATACAACCCCTTTTAGTTTTCCCGTTTTCTTAACCCTTTTTTAAAAAGGGGGGGGGGCCCCAAAGTATATATACGTTTTTTTTAACATCGAACGTATTTAAAAAAATGTAATTTTTTTTTTTTTTGTTTTACTTTTGAAAAAAGTTTAAAAAAAAATTTTATCTACCCTTTTTTTTTTTGTTACATTTTAAAATATGTTTTTAAAAAATTTTTCTACTTTTGTGCACTCGAATTTGGGAACCCCCAAATTTTGTTTTGGCCCCCTTAAGGGGTTAAAAATGTCCAAACGTAGATCTACGTTTTTGCCACGTAGCGCTCTGAAAATGGGTCAACTTTTTTTTTTTTTTTACTCTTTTTTATGGGAAAAAACAAAATTTGGGGTGCTACATGCACAAAAAAAGATCTACGTTTGGGCAGTTTTTAAGGGGTTTAAAATTTTTTTTAACATGGGCCCTTTCCCCCCCAAGGGAGGATGGGCCTAAAAAAAAAGAAAAAAAAAAAACCCTCATTTAAAACTTTCAACCCTTATTCCCCTGGGATTTAAACTTTTTATATTTTCCCTTTTTTTCCATGGGGGAACGGAAAAAAAATTTCCGACGACAAGCATGTTAAAGAGGCAACTAAAAATTTGGGAGTAAGGGGGTTTAAAACCCTTTTCCTGTATAAATTACTAAAAAGTAATAAGAAGAAAAAATTTTATAATTTTTTTCATTTTTTGGGGACCCCGATGTTTCCCTGCCCAAAAAATAAGAAAACTGTTTAAAAACATTTTTGGAAATTTTTTTTATTGGCTTTTTTCCAGATGTTCATGTTTAGTAAGGTTACTGTTCTTTGTAGTTCCCTAACCAGTGAGTGTCCTTTTTCCCTTACAAAAAACCCAAAAAATTTTATCGGAGAGGAACCTCATGCAACATTTTGGTCGGGCCCCGGATCATTTTCACATTCAAAATCCGTAATGAGAATAAAATTATTATGTTTCCCGTCCGAAATTGGGGCCATTCACTAGTCATAATAAAGTTGGTTTGGAAAATTTCCGACAAAAAATGTAAAGTAAAAAGGGAAAAAGTGCAACTAATGGGAGGGCGTTTATTGGTTGGGAACAAAAAAAAACCCGGGAGCTTCACCATCTCCGTTAAAAAGAAATTATGATTCAACGTAAAGTAAATCATAGGTAGTCCTACTTATTGGAAAAGTGAGTCTGTGTTTGTAATTCATTAATTGGTCCCACAGTGCCCGTATTGTAAAAGTGGAATGTCATAGGTTAGAACATTGTAAGTCATAACGTCATAAGTCAGCATATTGTTTAGATGTTGTCATGCCCTTGGCACATTAGAGTAGAAATTGTAAAATACGTTTTGTTCATTGAAGGTTAGTTTCTTTATAATTTCTGAAGATACCCTCGTTGTTCCTAAAACATGAATAATAATCACACTATCTTTCCTTTGTCCTAACAGGCTTGTCATGTGCTACGATGCTGTGCTTGCATTTATTGGCTGGGATTGTATCGTATGCTGTCATGATAGCTGTGTCAGTGGCCTCAGTTGGTAAGTCCAAAGTCTTTCTGTAAGTTACATGTTCTGTGCATAAGTGACTTATGTAGTTTACTGAAAATGAGTTTCTGTATGTTTATCATTCTCATCTTTAATTAACTTTTTTAACACTTTAGTTGTTTCCCACCATTGTGTGGTGATCCGACGAAACACGTTGATCATTACACATACTTTGTCTTGCCAGAAGTGCACAAACATCACAGTTACAATGACCCTGTGAGTTGCTACGTGCTAACCAATCTTCAGAGTACGTATTAAAAATTACGATGGGGAGGGGGATCATACAATATGTCAGAAAATAATTTCTTTCAAAAACTAATTTCACCCATTCAATAATAATTTAGGAACCTATAATTTGAATACATTGTTCATGCTGCTTTGCTTAAGAATTCTTAGTCTCTCCAAATCCAAAAATTTAAGAGAACATGAACTGTGAAGATGTGTAGGAAAAGTACAGTCAAAATAATTCATCAGCTGGAAGTTAAAATATATATTTGTACCAGTTGTTTTCACTTGATATAGTTCTTTAATCATCTTAGGACACTAAAAAATATTCTTTGTTATTAACCCTTTGAGGGTTTCGGCCGTACTAGTACGTCTTACGCGCAGGGGTTTTTGACGTACTAGTACGCATAAAGAACATTTTTTCCCAGTAAAAGTAGGCCTTAGACAAGGATGTGTGATGTCACCGTGGTTGTTTAATATATTTATAGATGGGGTTGTAAGAGAAGTAAATGCGAGGGTCTTGGCAAGAGGCGTGGAGTTAAAAGATAAAGAATCACACACAAAGTGGGAGTTGTCACAGCTGCTCTTTGCTGATGACACTGTGCTCTTGGGAGATTCTGAAGAGAAGTTGCAGAGATTGGTGGATGAATTTGGTAGGGTGTGCAAAAGAAGAAAATTGAAGGTGAATACAGGAAAGAGTAAGGTTATGAGGATAACAAAAAGATTAGGTGATGAAAGATTGAATATCAGATTGGAGGAGGGGAGTATGGAGGAGGTGAACGTATTCAGATATTTGGGAGTGGACGTGTCAGCGGATGGGTCTATGAAAGATGAGGTGAATCATAGAATTGATGAGGGAAAAAGAGTGAGTGGTGCACTTAGGAGTCTGTGGAGACAAAGAACTTTGTCCTTGGAGGCAAAGAGGGGAAAAGTATGAGAGTATAGTTTTACCAACGCTCTTATATGGGTGTGAAGCGTGGGTGATGAATGTTGCAGCGAGGAGAAGGCTGGAGGCAGTGGAGATGTCATGTCTGAGGGCAATGTGTGGTGTGAATATAATGCAGAGAATTCGTAGTTTGGAAGTTAGGAGGAGGTGCGGGATTACCAAAACTGTTGTCCAGAGGGCTGAGGAAGGGTTGTTGAGGTGGTTCGGACCCTGTAGAGAGAATGGAGCGAAACAGAATGACTTCAGAGTGTATCAGTCTGTAGTGGAAGGAAGGCGGGGTAGGGTCGGCCTATGGAAAGGTTGGAGGGAGGGGGTAAAGGAGGTTTTGTGTGCGAGGGCTTGGACTTCCAGCAGGCATGCATGAGCGTGTTTGATAGGAGTGAATGGAGACAAATGGTTTTTTAATACTTGACGTGCTGTTGGAGTGTGAGCAAAGTAACATTTATGAAGGGGTTCAGGGAAACCGGCAGGCCGGACTTGAGTCCTGGAGATGGGAAGTACAGTGCCTGCACTCTGAAGGAGGGGTGTTAATGTTGCAGTTTAAAAACTGTAGTGTAAAGCACCCTTCTGGCAAGACAGTGATGGAGTGAATGATGGTGAAAGTTTTTCTTTTTCAGACCACCCTGCCTTGGTGGGAATCGGCCAGTGTGATAATAAAAAAAAAGTAGTACGCATAAATTCTAGCGCCGTCAAATCTCTCGGGAAAAGGCTGGTAGGCCTCCTTATGAAACAATGGGTCTATGTGGTCAGTGTGCATGGTATAAAAAAAATCCTGCAGCACACAGTGCATAATGAGAAAAAAAAAACTTTGACCGTTTTTTTGGCATAAAACAGCAACTTTGCACTGTATTTTCGTATGGTATTTATTGTTGTATTCTAGTTTTCTTGGTCTCATTTTATAGAATGGAAGGCATATCACAGAAATTGAGATGATTTTGACTGGTTTTACAATGAAAAGTACCTTGAAATTGAGCTCAAAGTAGCAGAAATGTTCGATTTTTACCAAAGTTCAAAAGTAAACAAATCATGCCAAGCGTCCAATACATGTCAACTGGTGAGTCTAACATTCTTTTGCAAGTGCGCCAATATGATTTATACCATTTTTTACACTAATGCAGTAATCTGCATAACAGTAAATCTTCTATTTTTCGTGAGAATAAAAATTCAAAGTGGAAAGCAAAAGAATGTAAGAGGGGCCTTGAGACGTGACTAATGAACAGAGGAAATGTCATTTTATTGCCAGGAATGTATTTCTTGTTTGTTCTGGACCCTATTCGGAAATTGGCATTTTTTGAAATTTGTGTGAAATTGGCAAAATTGCTAAATTCTGACCATGTATTGGATAGTTGAAAATGGTAAATTGGTGGTTTTCTTGCACTCATTCAATAGAAAAAATGTAGTTCTAGCGAAATATTCATGTTTTTTGTCGACTAGTACAGTGGAATTGGCCGAAAATGGGGCTCAAAGTGGGCAAAATCGCCGATGCGTAAACATCGCCGAGACCGCTAACTTCGCGAGAGCATAATTCCGTAAGTTTTCCATCAAATCTCATAATTTTGGTGTCATTATGATCGGGAAAAGATTCTCTATCTTTTCATAAGAAAAAATAATTTTTTTTTTTTTTAAATTTGGCCGACCCTGAGAACGAGTTTCTGAGAGGGCCTGTCGACCCTCAAAGGGTTAAGTGGTTTGGGGGGTTGGACCAGTACACTAGAAGGTGTCAGTCAGATGATTAAAAGCTCCAGTAAGTGAACTTAGGTGAAATCTTTTTTTTCTTCTTCTTCTTGGCAAACAAATTGTGACCACCTATGGTACAATTATATACATGAGGACAACTGAGATAGGTATCTCCATTATCTCAGAATCCATGGTAATTAATAAATACAGTAATTTGAAGTATTTTGATGAATGGCAAGGTGATTTGGACACTTGGAGAGGATAGAGAGGGATAGGATGACAAAGAGGATGCATAAATCTGAAGTGGAAGGAAGGAGGGAAAGGGTCACCCTAGAATCAATTGGAAGAAGGGGTTAAAGGAGGTTCTCAGTGTTAGGGGCTTTGAGCATCAAGCATGTTAGATTAACCCTTTGACTGTTTCGGCCGTATATATACGCTACGAGCCAGTGTTTTGGACGAGTATATACATGCTCAATAATTCTAGCGGCTTCAAATCAAGCAGGAGAAAGCTGGTAGGCCCACATGTGAGAGAATGGGTCTGTGTGGTCAGTGTGGACTGTAAAAAAATCCTGCAGCACGCAGTGCATGAGAGAAAAAAAACTGACCATGTTTTTGGATTAAAACGCCGACTTCGAGGTGTATTTTCGTATAGTATTTATGGTTGTATTCTCATTTTCTTGGTCTCATTTGATAGAATGGAAAACATATTACAGAAATAGAGATGATTTTGATTAGTTTCACGATGAAAACGACCTTGAAATTTAACTCAAAGTAGTGGAAATGTTCGATTTTTACCAATGTTCAGGAGTAAGCAACTCACACCACATGTCCAATACACGTCAACTGGGGAGTCCAATATCCATTCATTAGTGCTCTGATATTATTTATACCATTTTTACAATAATGTAGTAGTCTGCATAACAGTAAATCTTCTATTTTTTGTGTGAATAAAAAATCAAAATAGAAAGCAAGAGTAATATAAGAGGGGCCTGGAGACATGACTAATGAACAGAGGATATGTTATTTTAGTGCCAAGAATGTCTACATTGTTTATTCTGGACCCTATTTTGAAATTGGCATCTTTTTTAATTTGCGTGAAATTGGCCAAATTGCCAATTTCTGACCACTTAATTGGGTAGTTGAAATTGGTAAATGGGCAGTTTCTTGTACTCAGTTGATAGAAAAAATGGAGTCCTAAAGAAATAGCTATGAGTTTGGTCGACTGGAACAATGGAATTGGCCGAAAATAGGGCTCAAAGTTGGTGAAATTGCTGATGCGTATATATTGCCGAGATCACTAACTTCACGGGAGCATAATTTCAGAAATTTTTGATCAAATTTTGTACTTTTGGTGTCATTACCATCAGGAAAAGATTCTCTATCATTTCATTTTTTTTTTTTTTTCAAAAATATTTTTTGACACCAGGAGACACTTCAGGATTTGGGGTTGCATCAGTCAAAGGGTTAAGTGAGTAGAGGCAGGTGGTTTTTAATGCTTGTCATGCTGTTAGAGCTAAACTAAGGTAACATCTATGAAGGGATTCAGGGAAATTAGCTAGCTGGACTTAGAGTTTTGGTGGTGGGATGGGCAGTGTCTGCACTCTGAAAGAGGGGGTCGGATTGTTGCAATTTGGAGGTTCATCTAAGCTGTGATATGAGCACACTTTTAGTAAGAAAGAGATGAATATATGTACGTTGGTGAATATCTTTCATTTTTTATGGATCATGGCTTGCCAGTAAGGTAAAAAAAATGTACATTTTTTTTTTTTTTTTTTTTTAACAAGTCGGCCGTCTCCCACCGAGGCAGGGTGACCCAAAAAGAAAGAAAATCCCCCAAAAAAAAAATATTTTCATCTTCATTCAACACTTTCACCTCACTCATACATAATCACTGTTTTTGCAGACGCACCAAGATTCAACAGTTTAGAAGCATATACACATGTATAAAGATATGTAACATATCCCTCCAAACTGCCAATATCCCAAACCCTTTCTTTAAAGTGCAGGCATAGTACTTCCCATTTCCAGTACTCAAGTCCGGCTATATAAAAATAACCGGAAAAATATCCCTCTTATATATTATTAATGTTATTTCCAGGCATTATTAACCCTTTGACTGTTTTGGTCGTATATATACGTCTCACGAGCCACCGTTTTTGACGTATATATACTCAAATTCCATCGGCTTCAAATCAAGCAGGAGAAAGCTGGTAGGCCCACATGTGAGAGAATGGGTCTGTGTGGTCAGTGTGCACCATATAAAAAAAATCCTGCAGCACGCAGTGCATAGTGAAAAAAAAAAAAAACTCCGACCGTTTTTAATTAAAATGCCGACTTTGTGGTCTATTTTCATATAGTATTTATGATTGTTTTCTTGGTCTCATTTGATGGAATGGAAAACATATTATAGAAATAGAGGTGATTTTGATTGGTTTTACTTTGAAAAGAACCTTGAAATGGAGCTCAAAGTAGGAGAAATGTTTGATTTTTGCCGATGTTCAGAAGTAAACAAATGATGTCATTTTCCAATAAATGTCCAACTAGCCATTCTAATATGCAGTCATGAATGGGTTGACATTATTTATACAATTATTACAATATTGCAGTAGTCTGCATAACAATAAATCTTCTATTTTTTGTTTGAATAAAAATTCAAAATAGAAAGCAAGAGTAATATCAGAGGGGCCTGGAGATGTGACCGATGAACAGAGAAAATGTTATTTTAGAGCCAGGAATGTCTGCACTGTTCATTCTGGACCCTATTTTGAAATTGTCATATTTTTTAATTTTTGTGAAATTGGCCAAATTGCAAATTTCTGACCAGGTTATTGGGTAGTTGAAATCAGTAAATGGGCATTCTTTTGGTACTCAATCAATAAAAAAAAATGGAGTTCTAAAGAAATACCAATAAGTTTGGTCGACTGGAACAATGGAATTAGCCGAAAATAGGGCTCAAAGTGGGCGAAATCGCCGATTCGTAAATATCGCCGAGGTTGCTAACTTTGCGAGAGCGTAATTCCATCAGTTTTCCATCAAATTTCGTTCTTTTAGTGTCATTACAATCGGGAAAAGATTCTCTATCATTTATAAGAAAAAATAATTTTTTTTTTAAATTTTGCAACACCAGGAGACACTTCAGAATTTGGGGTTGCAACAGTCAAGGGGTTAAATTCCAGTTTAATTCTTTAAAATAATTGGTAAGGTTACCATACCTTCCTGTTTTATAAATTAGTCTGTCTGGCTTTATATTTTTCTCTGTCCTTGTGTAAATCATATTTTGCCATGCATGTTATCTCAGTAAGACTCAAGAAATCATAATGACACGATTGCAAATAAACCATACCCCCGGCCGGGATTGAACCCGCGGTCATAGAGTCTCAAAACTCCAGCCCGTCGCGTTAGCCACTAGACCAGCTAGCCACAATAAGATTCATCCAACTAGGTATATTTCTACACCATAGGAAGGTTAGCACAGGCACCTCTGTGAAAACTTGCATTTGTGGTCACAGTGGTGCCTGTGCTAACCTTCCTATGGTGTAGAAATATACCTAGTTGGATGAATCTTATTGTGGCTAGCTGGTCTAGTGGCTAACGCGACGGGCTGGAGTTTTGAGACTCTATGACCGCGGGTTCAATCCCGGCTGGGGGTATGGTTTATCTCAGTAATTTAGACATGGGTCCATTTCCTGCTTAAATTAAGATCATACATTTATTGGCTTAATAGGCAATTAACAAGGAAGACTGGCCTCAGGCCAGGCAGCAAGGAGTCCTTGTTCTCTAGATCCAGTATATGTGGTTTAGTTTTTTTTTTTTTTCTCATTCAAGTTTTCTCTTTTATGTAATTTCCCATATCTCTGAATATATAACTGTTTGTAGTGAACGGAGCAAAGCTGTGCTTGATATGTCTCATCTTCAGTATTCAGGTTGTTGTATTATTTAAGTTTCCAGTAGTCGTAGCTCACACTCATTTTTTTTAAACCCCATTCCAACAGTATACCACAATTTCTGGATAATTTTTTCTAGTGTCAGTCTAACGTTGCTTTTTTGTAACTTACATTTGTGGTCTCATCATATTTTTTGTTGATGCTAAGTATGGAATATTCCTTGTCTGTTTTTCTTGCATTCTTTTATAATCTTACACTATATGTGTTACCAAGTCTCTTTTCTTTCTTCCTTCCAACAATATCATTTTCAGTACTGACAGTCATTCTGTGTAATGCATAAAGAACAAAAATTACAATACCATGCTTGGAATAATTGACAACTAACCCCAGTTTTCAGAGGAAATGTTAGAGGACTGTTCGATCTGTCTTGAGCTATTATCAAGCCATTCCAAAACATTGTGAAACTTCCAAAAATTCTCTTTCCAATTTGTAGGATGGTTATGGGTTTGCAATTAACTTATCTTAACTTTGCAATTCATATGTCTTAACTCTGGTAACAATTTTTTTTTAACGTACCAACCATATCCCACCGAGATGGTGACTAAAAAAAAAGAAAACTATGTAGTAATTTATACAGGAGAAGGGGTTACTAGACCCTTGTTTCTGGCATTTTAGTTGCCTCTTGTGACATGCATGGCTTATGAAGGATTCTTCTCCACTTCCCCATGCTATTATATACTGTATACATTGGGTATATACAATACTGTACATCATATTGGGTAGTAGCTGGTGTGGGATGTACATAATGATGTTACAGATGATTGAAGTATCATCTGGAGTAGATGAAATTATGGGAACTGCCTCTTCATTATAAAATTGGAAATTAGAGAGGAATATTTAATTTTGTTTTTAGTTAAAATTTAGTTATTAGAATGTACAGTATTCTTATTTTACAGTGGCAACGGTGCTGTTGTGGTGGGGTTATGCTACTGTCCGCCTGCAGCTCGATAGTTCTCCATTTGACCAGATTCTTGATGAAACAGTCCGCAATGAACGAGCCTTGTTGGTGTATGCCATCTTGTCCACCATCATTACTGTAAGCCAGCTAGACTTACTCTATTTTAATGTTAGAAGTATCAAGACAACTTCAGCAACACTTTTTTTTTTTTTTAACTCATTGGCCATCTCCCACTGAGGCAGGGTGACCCAAAGAAGAAGAAACAATGTTTTTCTTTTACATTCATTAATTTATACAAAAGAAGGGGTTACTAGCCTCTTGCTTCCAGCATTTTAATTGCCTCTTACAACGCGCATCACTTCCTAAGGAAGGATTCTTCTCCGCTTCCCCATGAAGTGTAACACTTAACATGATGATTTATTTAGTAGTGCAGCAAATCTCCCACTTGTAAGACCTTTTTAAAAATTGTAAGTCAGTTGTTCAGAACAAGGAACCTATTTTAAACAACCTTTATGATAGTAATCATTTCCTGGTTGTCATTAACTCTAACTCATTTGCCTGTCTGCTATGATGCTCATGGTGGTAGTTTGAACATTCATCATCTCTGAAGTCTTAGCAAGAAAATTCCTCAAAACAATAAACCCCACCATCACATAGTTGCTATTACTATCACCACAAGTCAAAAGTACTACAACTGCTGCTACTACCACAAGCACTATAACTACTGCTGCTACTACTACAAGTACTACAACTACTGCTACTACAACTACTACTACTTTTTTTTAAAACATGCTGGCCATCTCTCACTGAGACAGGGTGCCCCCCCTCCCTCAAAAAAAAAAAAAACACTTTTACTCTCATTCACACTATCATTGTCCTTCCAGAGACATGCAGATATGACAGTTTAGATGTCACCCTCAACAGTAAATGTCCCAAACCCCTCTTTAGAGTGCAGGCATTGTACTTCAAGCCTCAAAGACTAGTTCAGCTAACTGGTTTTCCTGAATCGCTTCACAAAATATTACCCTGCTGACACTCCAACAGCTTCTCAAGTCCCAAAAAACCATTCATCTCCATTCAGTCATATCTAATATGCTCACACATGCCTACTGTATGGCCAAGCCCCTTGAACAAAGCCTCCTTTACCCCCTCCATCCTTTCTTGGGAAGACCCCTACCCCTCCTTCCCTCTACTACAAATTTATACACCCTTCAAGTGATCCTATATTGCTCTATCCACTCTAAATGACAAGACACTTCAGCAACCCCCTCCTCAGCCTTCTAAATAATACTTTTAGTAACTCCACACCCCCCCCCTAATTTCCACACTACGAATTCTCTGCATAAAATTTATCCCACATGTTGCCCTTAACCCTTTGACTGTTTCGGTCGTATATATACGTCTTACAAGCCACCATTTTTGACGTATATATACTCATAAATTCTAGCGGCTTCAAATCAAGCAGGAGAAATCTGGTAGGCCCACATGTGAGAGAATGGATCTGTGTGGTCAGTGTGCACCATATAAAAAAATCCTGCAGCATGCAGTGCATAATGAGAAAAAAAAACTCCGACCTTTTTTTTTTTTTTTTTTTAAATAAAATGCCGAGTTTGTGGTCTATTTTCGTATAGTATTTATGGTTGTATTCTCATTTTCTTGGTCTCGTTAGATAGAATGGAAAACATATTATAGAAATAGAGGTGATTTTGATTGGTTTTACTACGAAAAAAACCTTGAAATAGAGCTCAAAGTAGGGGAAATGTTTGATTGTTACCGATGTTCAAAAGTAAACAGATGCCATTTTCCAATAAATGTCCAAGTAGCCATTCTAATATGCAGTCATGAATGGGTTGACATTATTTATACAGTTATTACAATATTGCAATAGTCTGCATAACAGTAAATCTTCTATTTTTTGTTTAAATAAAAATTCAAAACAGAAAGCAAGAGTAATATCAGAGGGGCCTGGAGACGTGACTGATGAACAAAGAAAATGTTATTTTAGAGCCAGGAATGTCTGCATTGTTCATTCTGGACCCTATTTTGAAATTGTCATTTTTTTAATTTTTGTGTAATTGGGTAAATTGCAAATTTCTGACCACGTTATTGGGTAGTTGAAATCGGTAAATGGGCAGTTTCTTGTACTCAATCGATAGAAAAAATGGAGTTCTAAAGAAATAGCTATGAGTTTGGTCGACTGGAATAATGGAATTAGCCAAAAATAGGGCTCAAGGTGGGCAAAATCGCCTAGGTTGCTAACTTCGCAAGAGTGTAATTCCATCAGTTTTCCATCAAATTTCGTTCTTTTGGTGTCATTACAATCTGGAAAAGATTCTCTATCATTTCATAAGAAATTTATTTTTTTTTTTTCAGAAAATTTGCGACGCCAGGAGACACTTCAGGATTTGGGGTTGCGACAGTCAAGGGGTTAAACACCTCGCTGCAACATTCACAACCCATATTATAATATGCTTTGCACCTCAGTCTAATACCTATATACTCCTCTGTGTCCGTGTATTGTTTGTAACAGCTTGACGAAGCTCCTGGAGAGCGAAACATTGTCACAGTAAAATGTCGCATTAGTTGCACTTGTGTCCTCTTACCTAACAGAGAGTAAAGGTGCACAGTGAAGGTGCTACAATAATGATGCAGCAAATAGGGAGAGTTTATTTGCAGTTGATGTCAAGTTCCTCCACCCAGGGAAGTACCACTGTCCTGCCAAATGAGTGTGAAATGGAAGTCTGTAATTTCTTTACACAGTGATAGGATTGCTGGTGTTTTTTTCTTTCTGTCTCATAAATATGCAGGATAACAGGTACATCTTGCTACTTTTACTTACATTTAGGCTACACAGCACATTCATATACACGTATGTGTATACATACCCATTTGAGTTTTCTGTTTTCTTAACCCTTAAATGGTCCAAACGTATATATACGTTTTTTCAACATCTGAACGTATGTAAAAAAATGTAGATCTTTTTTTTTTGTTTTACATTTGAAAACGTGTAAAAAAACTTTTATCTACATTTTTTTTTTTGTTACATTTGAAAATATGTAAAAAAAAGTAGATCTACTTTTGTAGCACTACGAATTTGAACGCCAATTTGTTTGGACCACTTAAGGGTTAAACTGTCCAAACGTAGATCTACGTTCGCTCACGTAGCGCTCTGAACATGATCAACTTTTTTTTTTTTTTGCACTCTTTCTTATGGAGAAAATCAAGGTTGGAGTGCTACATGCACAAACGTAGATCTACGTTTGGACAGTTTAAGGGTTAATATTTTTTTTAACACTGGCCATTTCCCACCAAGGCAGGATGACCTAAAAAGAAAGAAAAAACTATCATCATTCAACACTTTCACCATTATTCATGCATAATCTTTTTATATATTTCCTTTCTTGTCCATGGGGAAGCGGAAAAGAATCTTCCGTACGACATGCATGTTATAAGAGGCAACTAAAATTCTGGGAGTAAGGGGTTAGTAACCTCTTTTCCTGTATAAATTACTAAATGTAATAAGAAGAAAAACTTTTATAATTTTCTTCATTTTTGGGCACCCAGATGTTGCCCTGCACTATGATAAGAAATCATGTAAAAACATTTTTGAAGTTTGTCGTATTGGCTCTTTCCAGATGTTCATGTTTAGTAAGGTTACCTGTTCTTTGTAGTCATAACCAGTGAGTGTCTTTTACCCTTACACCAAAAATTGTACTCTGGAGAGGAACCTCATGACAACATTTTGGTCTGTCCTGGATCATTGTCACATTCACATATAATCCGCATATATGAGAATGAAACTTATGATGTTTCAGTCCGACTTGGACCATTCACTAGTCATAATAAAGTTGGTAGAATTACCGACAATATGTAAAGTAAAAGGACACAAGTGCAACTAATGTGACGTTTATTGTGGCAACAAAAACAACGGCAGCTTCACCATCTCCGAAGTCTTAGCAAGAATCCTCCTGAAAACAGTAAACCCTGCCATCACATAGTCTCTCCTGTTATACTACACAAAGCACATTACAGAGAGTGAACACTGAAAAAAACCTGCCTCTTTCCAGTCTATATTTGTCCAACCTATTTTTATGTTACCCAAGTAATAGCTTTTATATCCTTTTACTCATGTACGAATTAATTGCTCTTCCTTATTGTATTATTTTTGTTACTACTACTACTACTACTACCACCACCACTAGTGAACATCGAAATGTTACCTCACTAGTATTGCACCTCACTCAGAGCCTTTATATACCCTCTGTGTCCATGTATTGTTTGTAATGGCTTGATAAAGCTCCTGGAGAGCAAAACGTTGCCACAATAAATGTCACATTAGTTGCACTTGTGTCCTTTTACTTTACATTCACTAGTCGCAGAGAAGCGCAAAGGGAAGGGAGCCAGTGTATATTTATGAAAAGGGGCCGGGCTGTGAGTAGAATGAGAGGGGGTAGTAGTATGATGGTAGTAGTGGTAGAAGAGGCAGTGGTAGAAGTAGTGGTAGATGTAGTGGGCAAGAAAAGTAGGAAAGAAATCCTCAACGTATTTTTAAATGTTATTTGGGTGTGATTTTTTTTAGTGCAAATATTTGAAATTATCTAGGTAGTAGGTTGGTAGACAGCAACCGCCCAGGGAGGTACTACCGTCCTGCCAAGTGAGTGTAAAACGTAAGCCTGTAATTGTTTTACACGATGGTAGGTTGGCTGGTGTTTTTTCTGTCTCATAAACATGCAAGGTTTCAGGTACGTCTTGCTACTTCTGCTTACACTTAGGTCACACTACACATACATGTACAAGCATATGTATACACACCCCTCTGGGTTTTCTTCTATTTTCTTACTAGCTCTTGTTCTTGTTTATTTCCTCTTATCTCCATGGGGAAGTGGAACAGAATTCTTCCTCCGTAAGCTATGCGTGTTGTAAGAGGCGACTAAAATGCCAGGAGCAAGGGGCTAGTAACCCCTTCTCCTGTATATATTACTAAATGTGAAAGGAGAAACCTTTGTTTTTCCTTTTGGGCCACCCCGCCTCGGTGGGATACGGCTGGTGTGTTGAAAGAAAGAAGAAAGATTTGAAATTATGCCCTGGTATATTTTTTGACCATTAAGACGAGTGCCTTAATGCTGATGAAGGGTTTTTCGTTCAAAGAACATGAACTGTGTTCGTTTCCTTGGATTAAGCATGATTACTTTCTTTTCCCAAGTGCTGTATGACCTCTAAGTGTTTAGCACTTCCCTGTGAATATAATACACTGTACTAATATTTTATTTTGAAACATCTAAATTATACCTAGCTAATTTTTTTTTTTGAATCTCAAATTTTTTGTAAGCATCAAAATTTTGCCTTGATCAATTTTTGAACCCACATTAAACCTTAAACTGTCCAGACGTAGATCTACGTTCACATGCATAATGCTCCGACCTTGATTTTCCCCATTTGAAAGCATGTAAAAAAAAATGTACATCTACGTTTGGAGCCCCCTGCACATGGACGTAGATCTATGTTTGGACAGTTTAAGGGTTAAATCCATTACTTTGTAGGTGAAATTTTATATTGTTGTGGTTCACCTAATAGGTTGCACTGATTGCTCTGGTGGTTTATGTGTGGCCACATATATCTATGGTGGCAGAGCTGTTCAAGCATGCTGGTGGATGCCTCACTCGTCATCCGACACTCCTCCTGCAACCAGTCATAACATACTTCGTTCTACTGGCATTCTTCCTACTGTGGGTGTGGGTGATGGTGTCCCTCGCTACTGCTAGTGAGTACAGTCTCATTGATTCTGTTGAGATTAGATGAGGATGTTTTGAACTTAAAAATGAATAAAAATAGTTTGTTCAAACTGCAGGAAAGAGGTGATAATAATGCCTAGAGTATAGCTGAAAAGGGTTTTGAAGGTCAATGCCCCCGCTGCCCGGTCTGTGACCAGACCTCATTTATGGCTTTCAAATTCACAGTTTATGCACAAATTTGATATAAAAGCTTTAAATGACATTTCAGTTTGTTTTTGTCCATTATGAGGTTGTGACACTTAATTGTTTTGGATAGTCAAAAATAATAGACCTTAATATTCATCTGCAATTTATGAGTTATGAATTATTTCTGTCACTGTATTGACTTTTTCTTGATTTTGAATTTTGAGAAAGTGCAATTCTTTGTAAGTGTTGTGGTGGCCTACTAGAAACACTATCAGCACACTCACTCAGATACCCACCTCGCTAGGCTTCACTAGTCTTTATTGTAACTACAAGAGCAAAGCTACATTAATGTCTGTATGATAGCTGATACTGTTTTTTAATTATAAAACTCTACCCAAATTAAATTTTTTAAGTGTAATGATATTTGCATAAATTGTCTCTTCTAGGAATATAAGAATTTTGTTTGAATCTGTGATGATAGAGTATTAGACTACTAGAGCTGTGAGTTACCCCAGTAACCTGTCTTTACTGTCAACACGGTTTGATGCAGCTGCTAGACGGAAGTAATTATTTGGGACATGTAACCCCCTGAGCTCAGAGTATTCATTTGCATTTTTTTTTAATGCTGTTTCCCACCAAGGCAGGGTGACCCAAAAAAGAAACACTTTCACCATCATTCACACTATCACTGTCTTGCCAGAGGAGTGCAGATTCAATAGTTCAGATGTCCCTCCACACAGCAAATATCCCAGACCCCCTTCTTTAGAGTGCAGGCATTGTACTTCCCACCTCTAGGACTCAGTTCTGGCAAACCAGTTTTCCTGAATCCCTTTGCACAATATTACCTTATTCACTCTCCAGCAGCTCATCAGGTCCCAAAAACCATTTGTCGTCACTCATGTGGCTTTTTAACTAACCAAACACTGAATAATAATGGTACTGTTGCTTTCTATTTAATTTTTGGAGGCTCTGGTGGCCTGGTGGTTAACGCTCTCGCTTCACACGGTGAGGGCCTGGGTTCGATTCCCAGCCAGAGTAGAAACATTGGACGTGTTTCTTTCCACCTGTTGTCTATGTTCCCCATCAGTAAAATGGGTACCTGGGTGTTAGTCGACTGGTGTGGGTCGCATCCTGGGACACTGACCTAAGGAGGCCTGGTCACAGACTGGGCCGCGGGGGCGTTGACCCCCGGAACTCTCTCCAAATAAACTCCAAATATTCAAGGATCTAAGCTTCTTATTATAATTGAGATTAAAAGTCACATTTGCCAAATTATTTATTTAGGATTGAGCTTGAATTTACATCTTCCTGAAATAAAGAATAAAAAAAAGCACAATATTGTGACTCGAACAATACACAGAACAACCTTCACTTTGGAGAAAGAAACCTACGATAACATTTTGGTATACAGTGGTACCTCGGGATACAAACAGCTCAAAACTCGAACAGCTATGCAAGTGTATTTATGTAAGTGCTTTTGTAAGTGTATTTTTGGGAGTCTGAAATGGATTAATCTTTTTTTTTTTTTTTTTTTTTATCACACTGGCCGATTCCCACCAAGGCAGGGTGGCCCGAAAAAGAAAAACTTTCACCATCATTCACTCCATCACTGTCTTGCCAGAAGGGTGCTTTACACTACAGTTTTTAAACTGCAACATTAACACCCCTCCTTCAGAGTGCAGGCACTGTACTTCCCATCTCCAGGACTCAAGTCCGGCCTGCCGGTTTCCCTGAATCCCTTCATAAATGTTACTTTGCTCACACTCCAACAGCACGTCAAGTATTAAAAACCATTTGTCTCCATTCACTCCTATCAAACACGCTCACGCATGCCTGCTGGAAGTCCAAGCCCCTCGCACACAAAACCTCCTTTACCCCCTCCCTCCAACCCTTCCTAGGCCGACCCTACCCCGCCTTCCTTCCACTACAGACTGATACACTCTTGAAGTCATTCTGTTTCGCTCCATTCTCTCTACATGTCCAAACCACCTCAACAACCCTTCCTCAGCCCTCTGGACAACAGTTTTGGTAATCCCGCACCTCCTCCTAACTTCCAAACTACGAATTCTCTGCATTATATTCACACCACACATTGCCCTCAGACACGACATCTCCACTGCCTCCAGCCTTCTCCTCGCTGCAACATTCATCACCCACGCTTCACACCCATATAAGAGCGTTGGTAAAACTATACTCTCATACATTCCCCTCTTTGCCTCCAAGGACAAAGTTCTTTGTCTCCACAGACTCCTAAGTGCACCACTCACTCTTTTTCCCTCATCAATTCTATGATTCACCTCATCTTTCATAGACCCATCCGCTGACACGTCCACTCCCAAATATCTGAATACGTTCACCTCCTCCATACTCTCTCCCTCCAATCTGATATTCAATCTTTCATCACCTAATCTTTTTGTTATCCTCATAACCTTACTCTTTCCTGTATTCACCTTTAATTTTCTTCTTTTGCACACCCTACCAAATTCATCCACCAATCTCTGCAACTTCTCTTCAGAATCTCCCAAGAGCACAGTGTCATCAGCAAAGAGCAGCTGTGACAACTCCCACTTTGTGTGTGATTCTTTATCTTTTAACTCCACGCCTCTTGCCAAGACCCTCGCATTTACTTCTCTTACAACCCATCTATAAATATATTAAACAACCACGGTGACATCACACATCCTTGTCTAAGGCTACTTTTACTGGGAAAAAAATTCCCTCTTTCCTACATACTCTAACTTGAGCCTCACTATCTCGTAAAAACTCTTCACTGCTTTCAGTAACCTACCTCCTACACCATACACTTGCAACATCTGCCACATTGCCCCCCTATCCACCCTGTCATACGCCTTTTCCAAATCCATAAATGCCACAAAGACCTCTTTAGCCTTATCTAAATACTGTTCACTTATATGTTTCACTGTAAACACCTGGTCCACACACCCCTACCTTTCCTAAAGCCTCCTTGTTCATCTGCTATCCTATTCTCCGTCTTACTCTTAATTCTTTCAATTATAACTCTACCATACACTTTACCAGGTACACTCAACAGACTTATCCCCCTATAATTTTTGCACTCTCTTTTGTCCCCTTTGCCTTATACAAAGGAACTATGCATGCTCTCTGCCAATCCCTAGGTACCTTACCCTCTTCCATACATTTATTAAATAATTGCACCAACCACTCAAAACTATATCCCACCTGCTTTTAACATTTCTATCTTTATCCCATCAATCCCGGCTGCCTTACCCCCTTTCATTTTACCTACTGCCTCGCGAACTTCCCCCACACTCACAACTGGCTCTTCCTCACTCCTACAAGATGTTATTCCTCCTTGCCCTATACACGAAATCACAGCTTCCCTATCTTCATCAACATTTAACAATTCCTCAAAATATTCCCTCCATCTTCCCAATACCTCTAACTCTCCATTTAATAACTCTCCTCTCCTATTTTTAACTGACAAATCCATTTGTTCTCTAGGCTTTCTTAACTTGTTAATCTCACTCCAAAACTTTTTCTTATTTTCAACAAAATTTGTTGATAACATCTCACCCACTCTCTCATTTGCTCTCTTTTTACATTGCTTCACCACTCTCTTAATTCTCTTTTTTTCCATATACTTTTCCCTCCTTGCATCACTTTACTTTGTAAAAATTTCTATGCTAACTTTTTTCCCTTATACTCTTTACATCATATTCCACCAATCGCCCCTTTCCCCCTCTGCCCCCATTTTCCCTTAAAACCACAAATTTCCCCTGAACCTCTAAACTACTTTTTTAAAACCCTACCCCATACCTTTTCGACCCCTTGCCTAGCTCTCTTTAGCCCCATCTTCCCCCAAAGCGTTTAATCTTACCCTAACTCCCTCCTCTTTTGTTTTTAAACCTTCACCCTCTCTTCCCTGATGCTTTATTCTCTTGTATCCCATCTCCTTTTACTCTCGGGTTTGTACAACTAGAAAGTGATTGATAATCTGTGGCCCCTCTATAAAAATGTACATCCTAAAAGCTACTAAAACAGTTTTTATCTAACCCAATACAAATCCAACAAACTATGTTTTTCCCCCTAATCTTTTCGTGTATACTTATTTACCCTTTTTTTTTAAAAAATAGTATTACCTATAAAAAAACCCCCTTTTATACAAAGTTCAATAAAAGGGCCCCATTATCATTTAACTGGCACCCCAAATTTACCCTCCAAACCCCCTCTCTAAAAGTTTCTCCTACTTTAGCATTCAAGTCCCCTACCACAATTTACCTCTCATTTGGGTTTCAAAGGCTCCTATACATTCACTTAACATCCCCCAAAAATCTCTCTCTTCCTCGCATTCCTCTCTTCTCCAGGTGCTACCGCTATTTGCCCCATTCTCGCACCCAAACCTTTATTTTAAATCCACATAATTCTTGAATTTACACATTCTATTCTTTTTCTCCTTCCATCTGATCATTTAACATTACTGCTCCCCCTTCCCTTTGCCTAACTCTCTAGATACTCCAGATTTAACCCCTTTTTTTTCCCCCCCACTGAAACTCCCCCCCCCCCAACCCCTTCAGCTTTGTTTGCTTAGGGCCAGGACACCCCAAACTTCTTTTCTTCATAACTCAGCAATCATTGTTTCTTGTATCCGCCACTACACCCACGCACTTTTAAGAAACCCAGTTTAAAAAGTTTTCTTCTTTCTTTTTTAGTAATTGTATACAGGAAAAGGGTTACTAGCCCATTGCCCGGATTTAGTGCCTCATACGACACGCAGGCTTACGAGGAAAAGTTCTTTTCCATTTCCCCCATGGACAATAGAAGAAATAAAAAAGAACAAGAGCTATTTAGAAAAAGGAGAAAAACCT